TGGACTTTAACACTAAAAATAGATTTGTCAGCTCAAATAATTCTTTGATTTTTCAGCCACTAATAAAAACTGTTTTATATTATTTAGAAAGGAAGATTTTTAGAACGATGACTATGTATGATTAAAAGTCTCTTTTAATATCATATGGACCGTTTATTTTGAAAGTGGTGTAAGTCCATTTTTTCTTCTTTCGAGATATTTAAACATTTGCATTTTAGTTGAATCAAAAATATAAATAAAGTGTACTAAGTTTGACAATGTTTCTATGACTTTAGAAATATGTAAGTTGATTGCATAAAGACTTCTATGTGAATTTAACTAAACTAATATATTCTTTCTGGGCCATAAATAGACTTACACCACTTTCATAATTATTGAACTGTAAAATTCATTAAATTTCTATTATGTAAAACTCAATTTCACTTGAAACACATTGTGTTTTATTCTGATTTTGTTCATATATAATAACAAGAAAGAAAACAGTATTGTTTATTCTGAACATTAACATATTTATTTATTGTTAAACTATTTTATGATAAGTTTATCATTATTATGAGCTTACCATTAGACACTGCTGTTCATTTAGATTCATTACATGGATTTTTTTCCATTCCATCAAATTGTACGTTTGTTGGTAATATTTATAGTTTTACTCCTCTGTTGTAAGGGGCTGTCTTTAAATGATGTCCACACTGAAAGGGGGAGGGGGTTAAGACAAGTCGGACAAGGGGGATTGAGTATTAGTGTACATCCATTTATTTCTTTAAATTTATACAATAGGCATTTTATTATATTTATTTCAAAGTTTCTTGTATGTTTCATTTTTACTTATGGTATCATCATTCATAAAGTGATGAAGGTTTTAACAGGGATAGTTATGTTGGACATCCATAGAGGGAAAGAGGTTACAAAAACTTGGACAAACTGGAACAAGAGGGGGAAGTAAAAATTTCGAGAAAAATGCACATGTTATTTAAGGATAGCCCAAGTGCTTAGACTGTAGAAAATGGACTTACACCAATTTCAAAATAAACGGTCCATATGATACAGGATTGTGACCAGGGCCATAACTAGATTAGTTATATTTTATTCTATTTTAAGATTTTCCAGTTATTTCAAAATTAATTTTAAAACTTTGTTCTTTCATTTAGATTATTTTTCTTGAAAATAATAATATTAACTTTATAAATATCTTTTAAAAAAAGTGTTAAGGAAGAACAAGTAGCTAAAATTGGAACTTTTAGTGTAATTTCAATTGATTTCTTTAAAATAGTACTGTTAGATTTTAAATAGCACTGGCTGACTGATAACTTCTGTAAATTAAAAGCATACTTAAATATAACTTTAATTTCTCTAAATGATATTGTATACTGATATACACTATTTGATAAATGTAATTATATATAAATTTTTAATATATTAAAAACCTAGTTTATATTTCTGTCGAAATAACTAGTTGCATTCAGTTTAGAATTGACCAGGAGGGATAGAAGATAGTAATTTTTTAATTACTGGCATTCTCCAATTTGATAAGTTGAGAAAAAGTACATTTTTTTTTCCCTGTTCAAATTAGTTTGTATTTACAGTTTTACAGTGTTTGTTGTTTTAACTTGGTAGTAACAACAAATTTTATCGGAAAAGAAAGTACAAGCCCCACTTCTAAAGTTTAACTTTATAAAGTCCGACTTTACGAACGCGTCCAAAATCAAACGAGTTAAACGAGAATGACGTCATCGTTATTCTTATTTTGTTAGATTTTTCGAATGATTCATTTAGAACTAAATGCCTGTTTCTAAAATCGAAGATACAAATGTTGCTAGTACAGCCTTATCCGAAATATTTTTCTTAGATTGCTTCAGGTGGACAGTTATTTCAATCATTTCATCTTTTAATTCACAATTTAAACACTCGAGTAGATTTAGAAACATTGATATCGTCGGGTGCCATTTTATTAACGAAGTAAACTAACTCTTTCCTTTGTGAACTTCGTTAGAGTTTCGTTTGAAACGTCATCATCGCAGAGCATGCGCACTGAGCGAGACTACTACTATTCGAATGATTCATTACTAATGCGTTTAACTCGTTTGACTTTACAGACGTACCCTTTATTTGTTTACAAAGTTAATTGAAATAACACTTCTGTTTATATTCTCGAGTAATTTCTGATGCCGTGGCATCCATCTCTACTGAGATACTTGTACTAATCTAGCTTAAGTTTGCTGGCCAATTGCCAATGCAACAGTTGTGTAATATTGCCGCGAATAAGAGATACATAACATTTAATTTTCTTGCTGTTTGTTCATTTCCATCAAATATTTCTTCTCAATCTGCAATAGTGAACATATCGATCTAATAATGGTTTGGACAGACTTGCCAGTTAGGTATTAAAACAACCGTATCGGTGATAACATATACTTTCATGAATTTATCTAATGATAAAATCGAATATTTACTCATTATACTCATTTATATGCATATTTGTCTTTATTATTTTACGGCTGTGCATTTACAATTTTAAACAAAACTTTATACAATTATATCTCGGCGAAGACCTTGTATATCCGTACAAATTGTTAACCGGGACGTGCATCGTCAAAGCAATTTTAGAGGGGGTCAATCAATTTATATGTAGAGGTCACCGAAAACACGGAATTAAAATTTAGATGTAGGGGATGTAAAAATACTCTTCTCTGTGTTTTTGAAATTTTTAAGTCCCGATGTTAATTGAAAGTTTATTCTAATAATAGCATTGTTAATAGAAGAAACATAGCATCTACAACTTAAGCCTGTGTTTTTTTCGACCCTTTTTCTAACGGAGCACCCCATTGGTGATTTTTTTCTTGCGGCACCCCTTTGTCGACAAACGTTGCCCCTCTTGTACTTAACCTGCCACAGCTGACGTGCGTAAACTACACCCTGGCCCTAGGCCAAGCTTTAGTAAGGCTCCCCGTCCCACCCTAAATTCATATTGCTCTAGAGCCCTAGGCTCTAGCATGCCGGACACAATGGTTAATCGATCACTGCATGCAGGTGTTATTTTGCAGCACCCCAGTCGAAAACCATCTGCTTTAGTGTTTGCGCATCATTACGCAAATCATATCAACAAACGTATTTATGTCTCCAGATATTTGGAATAATAAAATATCAAATAATTATTTNAGCTCAATGTTTTGTATAAGATAATTTATAATTTAATTTTCATACCCAGCAGTTATTGTTTATCTCTTTAATTGGAAGTGTGGCATTTGTTTCCCATGTATTTATCTATTATTTAGGCTGTTTAGCTCCCTTGTATTGCATATGTAATTTGTTTCATAGTTGACCATAAAACCTTCAGGTACAACAGATAATCAGCATATCATAATCAAAGTTTCAATTATATTTAACATAATTTTCAGTAGATATGTATTTTGAAGCTGTATTTTTGCATTGTCAGTCACAACATGTGGTTGATAAAGGTTGATACATGATGCAACAGATAGATATTATAAAGGATGCAAATGACATTTCCTTACTGGTTATGGCTAATATACTCTCTGACAAAAAAAGTTATGCAGATAGAATTATTTGATTAATGCAAAACTTGGAATACAGCTATGTAAATAGTTGCAGTTGTGGTCTGACTGTATGGCAGCTGATGCCTTAAAATACTACCCTAGTATCCTACAAAAAGACTAGCAGAGGCTCACTGTGTTCAGAATTTTTAACATGCCTGTTGTTTGAAGGTTTTCTGTATGATGCAGTCAGATTCATGGAATTTCAGAAAGATTGCATCACAGCTGAGGTAAACAGAATGACCATTTTGCAGAGCTGCCCACTTGGGTCATTCTGATGTGACTGTGGTTGGAGGTAGTGGATATGTAAGGGCACTCTTACATGAAGGCAAGCTCTAGATCCCCTCAGAGAGCCCACCAGATGATAATCTGATTATGAGAAAAGCACAAACAGCTGCAATATCTTTGTCCTTCATCCATACAGATGAAAGCCTCACTACAGAACCTTGGCTCTTTCAGTACATTAGCAGACAACTAATTTAGCAGAAACAAATTTAGATGCATGGCAACTGCTATATGTCACTAACATGGTCAGCTTCGTTTGCAGTGGTGCCATAACAGAAAAGCACAGACTGCTACAGACTGGCAACTTATTGTCATTAGCAACAAATCATGGTTCTGTTTGGAAATGGGTAATTACTATATTAGTATGTAAAGCACCACTGGTGAGTGCTTCAATTTTACTGTTGATTTGCCTTGTTTATGAAGAGGAGAGATCTGGAATGGCAGTTGTAACATCTGTGAGCAAATCTATTGCAGGATAGCATATGATGCCTATATGTCTCACCATGACTGACCATATTGCTGTATGTAACCAAACAAGAGGTGGTTCTACAAGGTGTTAAAGGTTGTTTTAAATAGTCCCATTGTTCCACAGAAAACTGTTCCCTTCTTAAGATACTGTAATCACTTATTCCCATCATCATTGTATTCACACTAATAGTTTCATTTGATTCAAATGCCTTCTTCTTGATTCATAGCTTTTTTTTTTGTCATGAATTGTATCTTTATAATTAATTAGCTATATTATTAGCCCAATTGAAATCAGCAGTATTGTTTGTTTATTAGTTTATATAAATTTAACTATACACAAACACACAATTTTAGTTATTTGTACACACACACCTAAGAAAAATATTTTATAGTGTCATCATAAAGTCCCTTTGCAGTGGGCCACGTCCACATGGCTTGGCTGAATGGGCCCACCATAACTTTAACTCTTTTGATGCAAGGTCTACCTCTGACATCATTACTTTGTTCCTGGAAGCACCTCTCATTTCCCTGTCCACTGCAGAGAGACTTTACAATTGCATTCTATAAGATAGTCTATGATAATAAAACAAACATATACCTCGTATAAGTAAAATTTTAATTAGTATTAAAAAAGTATCATTTTCTTGTGATAGAAATATAATTATTAATCTAGTTTTATGATTTTTATAAATCTATAATTTTTTTTCTAAACCTACCTTTCCACATGTCTTAATTTAATGCTATTTATCCCTCTGAGTATTTCTGACATATCAGGCAAAGGTTTTTTATCATCTGATCCATTAACAGGTTTATCTTTTGTGCTAGTAATTTCTTTTGATTTCTTTTTTTCATTTAATTTCACCTAATAAATAAATATTATATTTTACAATTGCTAAATATTTCAAAATTATAGAGCTGAAGATATTTTAACACAGTAATGTAGAATATCAATTATTTAATCAAATCAAAATGTAAATTATTTCAATGTTAAAATCATTTTTAATTTTTGATAAACAATATATATATAATTAAATATTTAAAAAATTTGAAATCTATAGTTTTGTGCTTCATTTTTTATAATATTAAACAAGAATTATACCTTAGATAATTGACTTTTCAAGTGAAATTGCAATGGAGGAAGAGGAGGAGGCAGAGGATGTAATGATGATGGCATTGGAGGTGGAGGTGGAGGTGGAGGAGGAGGTGGTGGCAACGAGGGAAGTGAAGACGTCGACGGCATTGTTTTGGCGGCCGAGGAAGTTTTACAAAGTGAACCTAAGATTATTAATAAATACATTAGATTATTCTAAATCAAAATATAATTTTTATAATAATTTTAGATATAATAATTATATATTGGACAGACTTATTCCAAAAAGTTTTTTTTTTTCATTAAGTAACTTAAACAAAATAACTCCATAAAAACCTTTAACTTAAAAATATAAAGAAAGTTTATCATTTTGAAGAGCAAGATCTTCAAATTATATGTAAAAGTTTTAATTCTGAATTTTGTAAATAAGTAAATAAATAAATAAATCTAAGTTGAGAAATTATTGCTTCATCTTACTTTCTTGCGATATCACAATAGAAGCTATTTGCTGACGAAGAAGGGCTAATTCATCTTCTAATTGACATATCCTTATTAAGGCCGATTGATTCGACATTACATTTGCATTTTGTAAAAAACTGATAGGTGTACTTGATCTCGGCTCGGGTACTATAAAATCTTTACTACTTTCTGATTGAAGTAATGATTTCTTTTCATCACTACTTGTTGACTTTACATTAATAACACTAACATCAGTTCTAAATAAATTTACAAAAATAAATTTTTATAATTGAATTAAAATTTATAATTATAAACTACTTAAATTTAATTTTAAAATATCTGAATTATATCAAATCAAAATTAAAATGAAAGAAATCTAGAAACTTATTTTTAGCTGAAGTGATTTAAAGTATTTGATACTGGCAGTAAATATATATTATTATTTTGGATGGTAAATTTAGAAAATGTTTAAGAAAACTTATACTTTACAATTTGCTATTGCAATTAATTTTGGGCTTGCCAGACTTATGATAATATTCTTATCAGTCAGTTAAGTAACACAAGTAAATAAAATACAATCAGTAGAAATTCTGCTTTTATTAACTCTGATATTAAAAGAACACATTAAAACAATTAAAAATTTATTAATTGCAATTCTCCAGAGTTGTTTGCCTGCTACTTTTTGCAGTGTTACCTTTAATAGCAGAGATCATTTATGATTAACTTTTAAAGCATTTGTTAAGACTGGTCAAAAATCAGTGACTACATTCTTCAAGAGTTCAGATGAAGAGTTAGCTGTAACCAATAAGGAAATGTCATTTGTATTCTTTATCAACCACATGTTGAGACTGACAGTACAAAAATACAGCTTCAAAATACATATCTACTGAAAATTATGTTAACTATAATTGAAACTTTGATTATGATATGCTGATTATCTGTTGTACCTGAAGGTTTTATGGTTAACTATGAAACAAATTATATATGCAATACAAGGGAGCTAAACAGCCTAAATAATGGATAAATACATGGGGAAACAAATGCCACACTTCCAATTAAAGAGATAAACAATAACTGCTGGGTATGAAAATTAAATTATATATTAACTTATACAAAACATTGAGCTGCAAAACAAAAAACAAAGCTACACAAAAGGTAATCCATCCAAAAGGAATTTCACTTTTTTGTACTCTGTTAAGATCAATGGAGTTATGATTAGTATTTGTAAGAAAATATTTCTTGCATTGCATAGACTGCAAAATTCAAGGAAACAAATCCTATTAATTCAGAAACAAATCAAGGAAGGCAATATAGTTGCCAAATGTGAAGGCAAGGGAAAGCATAACGACAGACCAAATACTTTTTCTGAAGATCTCTGTGTGGGGTTTGGGGGCCGTAAAGATTTATTACGTACCTTTGTGGGTAAAGTCCTGCCACCAGGTGTGTTTTATCGGACACACCGCCATTTGAGATGAAATGGATGATTAAGGTGCGAGGGTAAGAGTCACTCCGAAGTCCAGGAATGAGCCTCTCAGGAGGAAGAATGCAGAGTCAGATATAACCAATTTAAGGACATTCATTAACATAAATGAAAGTTTAGAACATAATTATAAAACCCGATTTTGGAAATTTGCCTATTTTTATCTATACAACGAGGGGGTGCCTAACGGGGGTATTCAAACTTACACGACTCACAACATACCAGGTAAATAAGAGGTCTTCTCTTGTGATGTGGAGCTGACGGCCGAAACTGCGGAGGTTTCTGATGTTTGCTGCACTTCATCTTGTGCTTGCTTGTTTTTGAGTTGTACTCTCTTGAACAACTCTTGCTCTAGTGCTCGTCTGGTTTCACTCTCTGGATCTCTGTCTTTCTCTCTTGCTCTCTGTCTTTCTCTCTTGCTCTCTGGCTGTCTGATTGTGACTGCAACTCTGCAAGTGCTGTTCTGCCTCTCTCTCTCTAACTGCTTTCTGCAACATCTCTTTCTCTGACAGCATATGCAACTCATCGTACTTTCTCTGGCTGGACAGTGTCCCCAACTGCTGACTATCTCACTGTCTCTTTCTAACTGCCTTTCTCTGACTGGAGCTCTCCTTTTAAACCCTTCCAGCATGAGAAAGTTCATCATCAGGTAATGATTCATTGGCAGTGTCATCATTGTAGCTGAGTTGGTGTTTTCTTATTTGGTGATGATGTCAAGCTTTTGTAGAGTCATCTCTGAGTTGGTGTTTTCTCATCTGAGTTGACATGACTCATCTTTGCTCTTAGTTATTGTTCATTGATTGCTTTGACTAAGTTCTTCATTTAATATGTAAACATTGCCGAAAACAAGGGGATGCAATGTTCCCCATTTCTATATATATCTTTTATAATCTTTCATTATTTAATTGTTCCTTCCTCTTTTTCTTTGGCATGTTGTGAGATTTCTGATAGTTGGATAATAAACCGTTTTGTTCTAATTAATTTAAGTTGATATTAAAATTTGGAAAGGGGGACTCCCTAGGTTGGTAAAATAGGCTAATTTCCTCCTACAACTTTGATTGTTATTCAAGATACAGTTAAGGTTCATGCGAATACATAATTAAAAAATATATCAAGTAAATANAAAAGGTAATCCATCCAAAAGGAATTTCACTTTTTTGTACTCTGTTAAGATCAATGGAGTTATGATTAGTATTTGTAAGAAAATATTTCTTGCATTGCATAGACTGCAAAATTCAAGGAAACAAATCCTATTAATTCAGAAACAAATCAAGGAAGGCAATGTAGTTGCCAAATGTGAAGGCGAGGGAAAGCATAACGACAGATCAAATGCTTTTTCTGAAGATCTCAGATTGGCAAGAAACTTTATAATTTCCATTCTGAAATATAAGACACTGTAGTTGAAGTCAGAATCTTAATTGACAATATTTAGATTGTGATTGAACAATCAATCCTTTGTATTAAACAAAATATATACCCTAGTGTAAGATTAACCAAGCAGAGAAGATAAGTTTGGTCAGATTTTGACATTTATTTGCTGAACAATTCTGCATAGGATTTAAGATACCTAAATCAGACACTTGTTCTTTCTATGATTACACAAGCCTCCTCTTTGGTTTGTAACTTTTTTTGTCAATGAGTGTATTTAAACTGTATAATTAATTTTTAAATTATATTTTGTCATGATCTCAACTTAATGTCTTCAAGCTCACTTATAAATTGATATGTATTAATTTTTAATTCACTCCAGATCACCTGGAGGAACACCTATAAGAAAACCACCCTTACCCAGTGATCCATCAGATCCAGCCACACTGCTGGCTGTGGCCTTAAAGAGACGATTTTCAAGAATTCATCCTCACGAATTAAGTCCAGAAAAGGAAAATCAAGAATTGTCAGAAAGTTTAGCAGAAAGTAGTCCCGCAACTAATACAAATAAATCAAAAAATAAACCGGTAATAAACTGAAAACTATATTTTTATTTATTAAATAATTCTGGACTCATTAATACTTTTATTTATTTCAAAGCATTAATTTTTTATAACATATATTACTTTTTTTTTTTTTTTTTTTTAGTTTGGACCCTACATGTTAAAGCCTGTAAAAAAGAGAGAAACTAAATTATGCTCTCCTCTAACTGAAATGAATGAGTAACTTGTGTGTAATCATCATCATTCTTTTTAAAGACAATTAAACTTAAATATTTTAAGTAAAAGGTATGTAATATAAGCTGTAATAAATTAAAAATGTTTTACAAGGATAATATTTACATTAAAATATGTAGATAATTAATGGCTGTATTAACAAAGAATTTCCTAATAGCTGACAAAATGTCCTCAAGTTGCTCAAAAAAGTCATCTGTTTATTTAAATGAAATAGGCCGCAAATAAGCATAAATAACATTAAATATAGTTTTACTTTTCTTAAAATGAATGTAAATTCTAGTGTTATAAAACGTATAATTGTATATATATATAAAAGTATATATTTGTATTTGAGAAATCAATTAAATTGGACATTTCAATATGTTGTATGAACTGGTTCTCACTTCTTTAACCGCTCTGAAATCTTTACTAACAAAATTATTCTTTAATTATCTAACATTTTCGGCTATCCAAGCAGCCATCTTCAGACTGTTGAAAAGAATATACAAATTTAAATAAATATTTATGCTTGGATGGCCAAAACAGATAATTAAATAATAAATTTGCTGGTAAAGGTTTGAGTGATTAAAGAAACATTTTATTTGTAGTACTGCACAATAAGAAAGTTTTTTACCCAAGTGTATGACTTTTTATTATCCGGAGACTGAAATACCAGTTTAAAAAGTTGAACAATAATTGGATATTTTATAAAAACCACATTATCATAGAGTGACCTCTCAATTATCCAGCATACCCTCCAGTGTGATCACCTACGTGCTTCTGTTTTTGTGGAAATGTAAGTCATGTTATTGTACTGTATTATTTGCCTTGTAAGAATTGGTACCAAAAGATAACAGATCATGTCATTCATTGTCTAGAGGCAAGCTTTAGATTATTAGGCCTGTACATTTTCAGTGATCCAGAATGCTCTCAATCCATTATATGACAGAGTTAGATGAAAATCGAGACCAGAATGTGAAGGCTTAGGGGACCCAAGACTTCAATTAACTATATACAAACTTCCAGTCACGAGATTTTTTAATTAAATCACATGACTGGAATTACGATTCAAAATTGCAGCACTGCATTGTGACAATGTCATAATAATTAATTGCTCGTTACATTTAATTAAAATAAGATTGAAAATTTGATTTTAAATATTGCCACCAATTTATGGAAAAAGTTCTGCCATTAAAATGGTATGGAAAGAGATTTGCATTATATTTGAATTATTATGCCAGATAAAATTTCGAAAATGTTGAAAACCCATCATATTTTAGTAATTTTAATTTGTCAAAATAATTGTTAGCAATTATTTCAGTTCTAGTGATTGTTGTTTTAAAGTATTTAACAATTAGGAATGCATTTTTACAAGATTCCTTTTTAATTTCAAATCGTATTCCCAAAAATTGTGTATAAAGGATGATTTCTAGGTCTTACAAAATATTCTTTACAAATTACATTGCTCTGAATACAACAAAATGATGTCTATTTTTTCTGTCATTTATTTTTCCTATTTTAAATTATTCTGTATGTTATAGTAAAATAGTTCAAGTAGGAAACCTAATTCCAAAAGAAAACTTTTATCATCAATGCATTACAAATCAGGAAGGCCACATAAGGGTTACTTTATAGGACTTGATATCAGAAGATCCAAGACATACAGACACTAAAAATTGCATAAGAAAAATACAGATGTGTGGTTTAAAGACGTAATGCCAAAAATTGCAAATGGGCTTGGCAAAGGTATAATTTCTTTGGTATATTACTCCAGTTTCAAAAGTATTGTGGAATTTATTCTAGAAAGGTTTGACAAGTTAACATTCAAGATGAATCGAAAAATTCATGTCTTGCATTTTCTTTTACATTAAGAATCCTCAAACTTTTTTGACTGTCGACCTTTTCGGGATTCTGCAACCCGTTGACCCCCTTTTTTCACTAATGTGGTTAATGATAGTAGTACGCACCATTTTCATAGAAAAGATTTACTTAGTGTGCAAATTTACATCATCCCTAACTGTAACCCATTGAACTAATAATTTTTGACCAACCGTTTTTTTTCAATCAACCCTAGGGGTCCCAATTTTGAGTGCTGTACACACAACCCCCGTTATCTCCCCACTCCCTCGACCTTGATCCTTTAGCCACCAAAATTTAATAGCAATGATCCCCTAATAAACAAACCTCCCTGCAAAATTTCACAAATTTTCGACAAAAAGCAGTTCTCTGGAGTAGTCTGGCCAACTCAGGAAGGCACTCCCCTTAAGCGGTGGTCTAGTTTACCGACCATTGGCAGGGGTAAAGATGCATCACGTGACCAGTCAGCATAGTTTAAGGCAGGGGTGGCCAACAGTTTTTGCCCCCGGGCCAAATTGGAAAGAAAACTTTTTTCATGGGCGAACCAGAGGCTGCCCTAGGAAGATTTTGAGGTGGTGCAAGATCTCATTGCGGTGTCACCCTGTAGAGACTAAATTGTATATAGAGATAACAGATAAGATTTTTCACATTATCATGCTTTATGAATGTTCTACGCTGTACATAAAAGATTTGTAATGGAGGGTTAACTCTAATCGGACAGCGAGTTGTTGACCTTTATTTTTCTTTTTTAGGCATTAGGTAGAATTTTTCACCAATCTATTCTAATATTGAAAGATTAATCGCGGGCTGTATGTTGGCCATGCCTGGTTTAAGGTATGCCAACTGACTCACACTATCTACTAATCATTCACAGGAGTTAGGTATAAGTAGTCAACGCCTAAGGGTTGGTCAGACTATCACACATAGTGTGTTGTTAAACTATTACTTCCTATATAGCACCTGTGCACGAGTGGGTTTGAGGTTAAAATGCTATAAACTATCAGCAGCTCACCTTCTGGGGCCACGCTTTTTATGTTAAGTTATATAAAATGCAGGTTTTCAGCAAATACAGATTGGTGGCAATCCACATTATTTTGTCCAAAAAGATGCGTATTCTCGATTTGTTTACCTAATTTGATTGATACTAGGGTTTCTCTATGGAATCCCGGGTGTTTTTAATTAACCGGGAAATCCCACAAATTTCTTAACTTTTTCATTTTTATTTTGTTCTTTTAATTATATTTTCTATTTGCAAAATTTCCTCAACTCGAACTGTCAGAATACATTTGTATTTATTAATTTTAAGCCCGCTTATTAGTTTTTTAAATTTTTGCTCCTTATGGCATGTTACAGATTGTCAATTTGCTTGTGCCAGTGAATATAGGTGGCGTATGAGTCGACCAAAATGGCTGCCACAAAGGGTATAGCGTGCGTGACAACATACGAGAGTTACATGTGTCTGTTGTCTTTTTAATAGCAAGGTTGAGACCGAAATTTTAAATGCAAAAACATGTACATTGGACGTTCAGCGCTGCTTTCCTGTAAGCCTAGAAGTTTGACAATGGTGTTTAGAATGCCGAGCATTATTCCATTGACTATCCAAACACCATTGTCAAACTTGTAGGCTTACAGGAAAGCAGTGCTGAACGTCTGACATATGTCTTCACGTTTA